TGCAGCCTCGCACAACAATCTCAAAACAACAACTAAAATACAGAAAGGACATCATCCAAAACCATAGGAAAGCTGGCTGAGTGGGAAATCTACAACTAGAAAGAAGGAGAGAGGCTCACGGATCAGGGAAGCCGCAAAGCGCTGAGGTAGGGAGGATGAGTGCCTGGCTGGTGGGAGGGGAAAGGAAACCCCTGATTGCACTGAACCTCAGTTCCAACTGCATTGAACCTCAGCCCCGGCCAAAACCCCATGGACCCAGGCTCATACGGGTGGAGTCTGGACTGTAGAGAAAGGCACCCTGAGACTCAGAAACTGGGAGAATCTGGGGAGGTGGGAGCTGCGGTGGGCAAGTGAGTGCACGTAGAGAGGTCTGACTGCAGATTGCTGCAGCTGCTCCACAGCAGAAGGAGTCAAAGATCCTGACTGCACTGCGCAATGAAACCCAGTTTGGACTGGACCGAGCACTGAAACCCAGTTCAGGGTGAGCCCCTGGAGAACCCACATTCTTACAAGGGGAATCTGGACTGGCAGGTGGAAACTCAGGGGATACGTGGAAGGCAGAGGTCTGAGGCATGTGCACAAGGACAGGGCTGATGGGAAGCCAAGACTGTCGGCTCAACCCTGAGATTCTGCCCCATCCAAGCTGAGCACAGAGGCTTTTGCAATTTTGCAAGTCTGATCCTATAAGACTGTCTCCAATACAGAAAATATCCAGAGTAGACACAGCTGATACATCCAATTGGCCTGGAGGTCAATTCCTCCCAGTGATACCAACAACAATCAAGACTTAACTACAATAAGGCTGTGCACGCAATCCACAAAGGGGAGCACCAAGAGTGTCTACCTCAGGTAACTGGGGAGGCTGACCCACTGGGCCATATAAGACACCAAACACACAAAGCCATCCTACCAACTCAGGGAAGCAGCGAAAATGGGGAGACAAGGAAACAGATCTCAAACGAAAGAAATGGAGGAGAACAAAGACTGGATATAGAGTTCAAAATAACAGTTATAAGGTTTTTCAAGAATTTCCTAGAAAAGGCCAATAAGTTTAGCGAGACCCTCAAGGATATGAGAGAGACTGTCAAGGATACGGAAAAGGACCAACTAGAAATTAAACATACACTGATTGAAATAAAAAATATTATAATATACAGACACAGACACCCAACAGCAAACTAGAGGAACGTAAAAATTAAGTCAAAGATTTGAAATACAAAGAAGAAAAAAATCACTCAACTGGAAAAATTAAAATAAAAAAGAATCCAAAAATTTGAATTAGTGTAAGAAGCCTCTGGGACAACTTCAAGCGTAACAACATCAGAATTATGGAGTGCCAGAAGAAGAGAGAGAGAGCAAGATACTGAAAACCTATTTGAAGAAATAATGACCAGAAACTTCCCCCACCTGATGAAAGTAGACTTACAAGCCCAGGAAGCTCACAGAACCCCAAACAAAAGGAATCCAAAGAGGACCACAACAAGACACATCATAATTAAAATGCCAAGGGCAGCCAAACCAGTTTGGCTCAGTGGATAGAATGTCGGTCTTTGGACTGAAAGATTCCAGGTTCGATTCCGGTCAAGGGCATGTACATTGATTGCAGGCACATCCCCAGTAGGAGTTGTGCAGGAGGCAGCTGGTCGATGTTTCTCTCTCATCGACATTTCTAGCTCTCTACCCTTCTCCCTTCCTCTCTGTAAAAAATCAATTTTATATATATATATATTTTTTTTTTTTTTAATAAAATAAAATGCCAAGGGGAAAAGACAAAGAGAGAATCTTACAAGCAGTAAGAGAAAAGTGGTTAGTTACCTATAAGGGAGCACCCATAGGATTATCAGCTGATTTCTCAACAGAAACTATGCAGGCCAGAAGGGAGTGGCAAGAAATATTCAAAGTGATGAATAGCAAGAACCTACAACCAAGATTACTCTACCCAGCAAAGTTATCATTCAGAATTGAAGGGCAGATAAAGAGCTTCACAGATAAGAAAAAGCTAAAGGAGTTCACCACCACCAAACCAGGATTACATGAAATGCTGAAGGGTATTCTTTAAGAAGAGGAAGAAGAAGAAAAAAAGTAAAGATAAAAATCATAATTTTTATATATATAACAAGTATATATCAAATATATATCAAGTTGATATATAACAAGTATATATCAACAAGTAAGTCTAAAAATCAGATGAATTAAAAATTTGAGGAATAGAATAAACTGATGAATATAATAGAATCAGGGGCAAAAGAAGGGAGTGCATTGATAATTATCAAGGGGAAAAGGGTGTGGGGGTGCAGGAAGAGACTGAAATAAATCTTACACCTATGGATGAGGACAATGGGGGAAGGGGGGGAAGGGCAGAGGGTAGGGTGGGAACCAGGTGGAAGGGAGCTACCCTGTTTCCCCGAAAATAAGACAGTGTCTTATATTAATTTTTGCTCCCAAAGATGCGCTAGGTCTTATTTTCAGGGGATGTCTTATTTTTCCATGAAGAAGAATACGGTACACATTTATTGTTAAATGAAAATAAAGGAAATTTATTACTTGTATACGATACGATAGTACAGTAGTTGTCAACACAAATCAGACAAACTGTGAATCCTACAGCAATGTTTTTCAACCTTTTTTGGGCAAAGGCACACTTGTTTCATGAAAAAAATCAAGAGGCACACCACCATTAGAAAATGTTAAAAAATTTAACTCTGTGCCTATATTGACTATATATAAAGTAATTCTCTTGAATAGGAATCAAATAAACACAAAGAAAGTATTTTATAATTACTTTATTATGAAATATTAAGTAAACAAAATAGTGAAAAATTATAAAATTCTTGTCTTGTCTGCACCTACGGCACACCAGGCAACATCTCGCGGCACACTAGCGGCTGAAAAACGCTGTCCTACAATATCAAGAATTTACTCATTTATTCAATGACAATCATGTCATCATCTTCTGGAACATCATCATAACAATCCAATTCCTGAATTTCCTGGTGAATTCCTTGTGACTCCATTTCTTTCAGAATCAGTGGACCAAATCTCTCATGTTTAGCCTGGGAGGGGGCTTATTTTCGGGGGATGCCTTATATTTCACTCAGAAGGAAACCTGTAAGTAGGTCTTATTTTCAGAGGATGTCTTATTTTTGGGGAAACATGGTATTGGGGGGGGGGGGGGGAGAGAAACAATTGTAATAATCTGAGCAATAAAGATTTATTAAAAAACAAAAACAAAAACAAAACCTGAAATTCACTGGTGATAGATTAGAGAGGTGGGAGAAAGCACAGAGGAGTGGCTGGGGGGGGGGGGGGGGGGGGGGGAGGGGTTCGGAGAGAGGAGCCCCTGGGATTGGATTAAAATAAAATGATAGACACACACTTAGGTGGGTTTGGGAACAATAACAATGAAGGAATCTGTGGTGTCCGTCCTGGAGCCCAGCACATTAGGTTGTGCCCCCAGGCGTCCAGGAAAAGGGAAGTTACAAGTGACCCAGACATTTCAAGGATGTTACCATAGATACAGAAAGACAGACAGGCTCAGCTTAGGTAAAGGTTGACCTTGTCAGTGGAGATACCGGCCTCGAAGTAACTGCCCACCATCACTGCTTTAGTTAGAGGCGGATTTCAGATCCTTTGTGGTGACTTTAGGCCTGAGTTTGCAGACCGCCACGCAGGCCTCCCCTGGGCTGTCAGGTCAGCATGTGGCCCCTTCTGTCCACACTAGTACCAAAGCCTAAGAAAGGCCTTAATCTCATCTTGCCAGAAAAATACCCAGATTCTTCTCACAGGGAGAGTTTCCGCCTCTAAATGTTTTTGTTATCCATGCGGCCTTTTAGGAGCCTAGTGGCAGGGAGTACAGCCAATGTTCCCCCTTGCCATGGAGATATCAAAGCCTGCCATCGGGAAGAGGAAGCAGAACTACCGGACCTTTCCAATGCCAGAAGCATGGCCCTGGAAAACTCTAGAGTTCTGCTACGAGGATCAGTGATCAGTCTCAGGACAGCAGGTTTATGCTAACTAGACAGAAGGCCGTAGTTTTCATATACAGGAGCAATAACTACTCAGAGAAGACACGATGGTAGAGAATATCCCACTTATAGCAGCGACAACAACAAATACATAATTAGGTAAAACCTAATGCAAAATGTGCAAAGCCCATGTGAGGAAAACTGTGAGACTCTCCTACATAAGAAACCACCCTGATTGATTTATGAATTACACTCCAGGTTAAACTATAAATTAGTCACACGATACTAATGTGGTTATGGAAAAAGAAATATGAATGGCTAGGCAATCACTGAAAAAGAGAAACTACGATATGCAGCTTATATAATTAAAACAACTCCGGACCACACACGGATAGACAGACCAGTGGAATAGACTAGATGGCCCAAAACAGACCCAAGGACTGCGCCATTCCAGGAGGCATCTCAGACCACAAATTCAGCTCTTTAATAAATGGAGACCAGTGGGTAGCCACTTGGAACAAGATAAAGCCAGACCCGTATTTCATACCAGCCACAAGAACAACTTCAAATAAAAAACAGAGGCCGGGACCAGTTTGGCTCAATGGATAGAGCGTCAGCTTGGGGACTGAAGGGTCCCGGGTTCGATTCCGGTCAAGGGCATGTACCTTGGTTGCGGGCACATCCCCAGTAGGGGGTGTGCAAGAGGCAGCTGGTCGATGACTCTCTCTCATCGATGTTTCTAGCTCTCTATCTCTCTCTCTGCCTCTCTGTACAAAATCAATAAAATATAAATAAATAAATAAATAATAAAAAACAGAGATCTAGTGTGAAGCCTGGAATCACACAAGTACTGGAGGGAAACAGGGTACTATGTACCTGCCAACAAAAAGGAGACCGAAATGGACTTGCAAGGAGAGCCCTTCAGGAAATATTGTTAAAGGAAACAAAGAGCAAGCGAGTATTAGAACCAGCACCTCGGTAGCCCCTTAACTTCAGGGAGGGCCGAGCTTTCCCAGAGGCTCCAGCTGGGGTCACTGCCAGGCCTGAGCTCTCATGAGGTCACCGTTTCCCGGAGACTCATGGGTGGAGGGCCTGGGCTGGACTGTCTGAGGGCAGGAGTACCTCATTCTCCCAGGAGATGGCCCTGACTTACAGCTCCCACTCCTCCCACACGCCAACTTTCTATAGCTCAGGGTGTGTTGAAATATTGTGAAATAACGAATACACCCTGGGAGATGAGTTTTCTTTCACTAAAGTGCAGCCCCTTGAAACTGACTGTCCAGTAGTCCCTCCTTATATGCAGTTTTGATTTCCACGGTTACCCGCTGTCAAAAATATTAAATGGAAAATTCCAGAACAGAGCAATCTGAAGTTTTACGTCGTGTGCTGTTGTTCTGAGAGCGTGATGGCATCTGGAGCTGTCCTGCCTGCCCAGGACGTGACTCATCCTTCATCCAACACGCACACTGACATGCTCCTCGCCTGCTAGCCCCTCAGTAACCGCCTGGGCTGCGTGATCAACTGTCTCAGCATCCTGGTGCTTGTGTTCCAGTCACTGCAGGGCAAGAGCGGTGATTGCCGTTCGGCGTGCTGCTGGGAGCCCGGTGCTTCGTCCCGGGGAGCCGTCTGTGCTGGGGAACACCGTCAGCACAGGCTCCGCTCTACCCGCAGGTCCAGGCACCCACTGGGGACCGGGAGTGTATGGCCCCCGGAGCCGGGGCCCACTGGGATTTGAGAAGAACATAAAGAACGGAGTGGAATGGACCTGGAGAAAGTAGGGGCGTGTGCTGTAGTTAGTTACCAGCCTCCGCTCCTGGCTTGAGTACGCCTTTCTGGGGAGGGAGAGTGGGCTTTAAATCCCACTCCCCGCCACAGGCTAATGGTCATCTGTCCTCCTCCCTTACTTCAGACAAGAAAACAGTATCTCCCCAAATGAAGGGGTTTGCCCGAGGACGGAGCAGGTGTCTGGGACGCAGGGCCAGAGCCGACGCCAGCGCTGTGCTGTACCGGCCTTAGTGCAGACTCCGAAGGCCCAGGGGTGCCGTTGGGGGACGGCCCCTCGGAAACCGAGCCCAAATGGTAGCACACGCACACCTCCTCGCCTGCCTGCCTGGCCGTGTTCAGCCATAGCATGGCCTCAGCGCTCCTGCAGGGCCCACATGTTTGAGTTTAATGTGCCCAACTCAGCCGGAATGCCTCACACAGGATTGCTGTTGGAGACGCCTCTCGTCACCTTTCTTGCCAGATCCAATCCTATCTAATAAAGAGGGAATATGCTAATTGACCATCAAACCCTCATAAAGATGGTGGCACCAATAGCCAATAAGGAAGGGATATGCTAATTGACCACCACATCCAACATATGGTTGCACCCACAGCCACAAGATGGCGGCACCCAGTCCCCTCAGCTGCACTGAGGTGGCAGATGTACGGCACAGCTGGGCCTGCCCCCAGGTGGCCTGGTCAGTCCACTTACCTTCCTCCAGAGTCCCCAGTCCCCTCAGCCCTCCAGCAGTGCAGGGCCACCCGAGGCATAGCTGCCCCACCACTCAGGCCCCTGCCTCTGCTCCTCCCCAGAGGCCCCCCTCCCACCTCTGCCCCACCCATCAGGCCATTCTCAGGGCAGTGGCAGCTTCAAGAATCTGTGCGATTCCATCAGCCACCTGCCCCACACTCTCCTGGCTTTTACCTCAGAGTGAAAACCAAGTCCTACAGGACCCCATTCCCCCCACATTCCTGCTTAACCCCCCCTCCCCCATGTTCTCCACACCTGCCTGTCCTCAGGCCCAGCCACCTGGAGCTCTGAGCTCGCGGAGGCACCAGAGCTTTCCCTCCCGGCCGCTGTGACGAGGGCCCCACACAGGGCGCCACGGTGCACCCGGCACAGGTGCCACTGCGAGCTCGCGTGAGGGTGCCGCCTCGACAGCACAGGAGGTCCATAGGGTGGGGTTGCCCCAGCCTCCTTTGTACCTTCCTGTCTGTGATGAAAGATTAAAATTCAAAAACCAAAAACTTGTTTTTTTAAAGTTTTGTCTTAGTTTTTTTATTATACTATAAACATTAAAATTGGAATGTACAGAAGAGAGCAGGAAGGAAGGGGACGAGAGGGTGACGGAAAGGCAGGTAGGAAGGCAGAGGCAGAGAAAGGAAGTCACCCCATGGGCTGCCATGCAAACCGCTCCCATCAATCCCTGCGTTTCTAAGTCCTTTACACCACCCCAGGGAGTGGGAGCAACCTTCTTGGCGAGCCTGACTCACCAGACCCAGCCTGGCTGAGGTCACTCCGCACCACAGCTTCAGACGAGGCATTCTGGGGGCCTTCTGGCGTTTCACCCAGGCGTGGCTGAGTTCATCTTGGCCATACTTTTTAAGAGATTCTGGAATCTTCTCTGGAGAGAAACAGAGTAAGCAGTTGGATGTCTCCACAGCAGTTACAATGGAGGTGGTGACATAGAGCACCCAGGCTAGAGCAATCCTCCTCGCTGAGATGGGCACACCAACGCTCTCTCTCGCCAGAACCTCTCATCCAATCACATGAGCACATGTCTCCCTCCAAAGATGGTTCCATCTAGAGCTACTAGAGGCAGCTTTAAAAGTGGACACCCCAGGAGGATCCAAGATGGCTGCTCGGTTAGACACCTAACCGCAGCAGCACACAACAATTTCAATGGAATACAACTAAAATGTAGAGTGGACATTGCCCAGAGCTACAGGTAGTCGACTGACTGAAAATTGTACAATAAGAAGGAAAAAGAAAACCTGAAGGAAAATCAGAGGAGCTGAAAAAAGCCTAAGGTACGGAGACATGCTGCGCGCTCGCATGCACGTGCGCGCGGAGAGGTCGCAGCCGGAGAGGAGGAGAAGGCTGGGTGCTGCCTGGCGTTCCCTAGCAGGAAGGAAATAAAACCCCCAGCCTGGGCTAAATCCCAGAATCGGCAGCGCTGAGCCCGTTATGAGCCAGACCCTGGGGACCCAGGCTCCAGCAGGGGGAGACGGTGCGGCCAGGCCCGGAGCAGCGGCTGCCAGGCTGGGAGCGGCCAGGCCCAGAGCAGCCGGGTCTGGTGTGGCCAGGCCCAGAGCAGTGGCTGCCAGGCTGGGAGCAGCCAGGCCCGGAGCAGCAGCTGACAGGCTGGGAGCGGGCAGGCCCGGAGCGGCCGGGCCCGGAGCAGCCGGGCCGGGTGTGGCCAGGCCCGGAGCGGCGGCAGCCAGGTCCAGGGCAGCTAGGTCGGGAGCGGAGGTGACCAGACCCGGAGCAGCTGGTTGTGGAACAGAGCCTAGGCCCGGAGCAGCCAGGCCCGAAGCAGCTCGCTCCTCGCCTGCCCCTGCCCCACGGCTGCCTCTCAGACATGGCTGGAAACTTTTGTGGGAACTTGAGGGTCTGCTGAATCAAGTGATGAAGGCTTAGATCTGGATGTGTTGAGTTAGTATAGGGCTGGGGTGTTGATCTGTGAGTGCCTTGGGTGGGCCTGGATGAGGCTGGTTGACCTATTTGGAAATGTCTTTTGTGTGAAATGTATCATTGGGCATGTGGTGGTATTATTGATATGAGAAAATGCTAAGTAACTGATTTACTATCTGAAAAGGGATTTACTATCGAGGAAAGGGAGGGAGGAAGAGACTGAACATAAACTGCACCTATGGATGGGGACAGTGGGGGATGGGGAGGGGGCGGAGGGTGGGGTGGGAGCCTGGTGGAGGGGGGAAGAGATGAGGAACCTTTGTAACAGTGTGAACAATAAAGATTGATTAAAAATAAATAAATAAATAAAATAAAAATAAAATAAAAAAATAAAAGTGGACACCCCAAAACTCAAATGATCAGGTTCCCTGGTTTCTTGTTCAGAGCTTCCATCCAGACCAGTGGTTTTTACCTTTCTAATGCCTTGACCATTTAATACAGTCCCTCATGTTGTGGTGACCCCCCAACCATAAAATTATTTTCGTTGCTACTTCATAACTGTAATTTTGCCGTAATGTAAATATCTGAGATGCAGGATGTATTTTCATTGTTACAAACTGAACATAATTAAAGCATAGTGATTTATCACAAAAACAGTATGTATTATATATTGTGAAATATTTATTTCTAATTACAAATAAAAGAAATTTTGTCTTGAGGCATGGTGTAGCATGGGTAATAGTCTTAATATAACAACAGTAAAATATATTGCTACATTTTGTGACAGTATGTGTAAAAAGCCAACGTAGGTGTGAAGGTTGAGATTGCTTCTTTCTCACCAGATCAGAGATTCTCAGGGCAGTCTTTGCAAGAGCACAACGAAGATCATCTTCCACAACAGGTCTACTTCTGTATTTAGACTTGATAACCAACAAGCTTGAAACCCCTGTTTCACAAAGATATATTGTTGGAAACGGAAGAAGGTGGAGCAACAGAGTCTCAGACAGAACAGGATATGACTGCAAACACTTGATCCAGAATTTTGTAACTGGCATTGTAGAGAAATCAGTTCTCACTGCATCGCTGTTAGTAAGTTCAATGAACTCCTCTTATGCTGTCTCAGGAACATCTTCAACTTTGACTGTGAATGGACTTCTGGCAAGTGCAAATGGGTATCAGGTAGATTTGAAAAGTATGATGAAATTTCGTCTGCAAGCATGTGCAAGCGTTCTTTTACAGAAATTATCATCATAATCCTTTTGTCTGGCTCAATGTTATGTTCCTCAAAGAAAGCAGATAAGGTAGGCAACATGTAAATTTTATTTTCATCCAATTTTTTTGTCAAAGCTGAAATTTCATTTGCAAAGATTGGATCTTTTCAGACAAATCCAGGCATGTTGCATTCGGTCCTTGCAGTGATAAATTTAACTCATTCAAGAGGGCAAAGATGTCAACCAAGTAAGCTATAATATTTTCTGAAGTTCACTTTTATCACTGAAAAGTGCTTCGAACTGCGGACTTGCCTTCTGATTAAAAAAATGTTTTGAGTTCATCACGAAGCTCAAAAACACATTTTAAAACTTTTCCTCTGGACAACTGTCTCACTACAGTGTGAAATAGCAGAGCGTTGTTCTACGCATCCAACTCATTGCAGTTTAAAAGTGCTCGCCTTTACAAAACTGACAGAACTTATGACACTTTTCATTATTATTGTAACTCTTGTGGTAGCATCTTCATTGCAAT